TGGCACCTATCCCAAGTTCCTTTTGAGTTTGGTTAACATTCCCCACCCATCATTTTTCATGTGCATGTGCCACATCACTTCCTGGTTCTGATTTGCCTGCTATTTGCCCCACGGGTAGGGTGTTACCCATCGAGACTCAAAAACCAGCAAGTAACCCCTCCTCCCCCTCCTCATAAACCCCACACCCATCTCTGAGGGATCCAAGCATCCCTAGCAGGAAGGAGTCCAAGAATTCTTTATGCACATAAGAATGTCCCCTTGCCACATCATAACCCTGTTTGCTACCAGTGCCACACACTGATGGTCTAGGTCAAACTCCAGATGTTAATAAACCTCAGTAACAACTGCTCAGAGAAAATGCAGATAATTGGTCTCATACCTGCTATTAGAAGAAAAAAACCCCAACAAATACATGACAAAAAGGGGAAAAAAAAGTGCTATAAAAAATGCATCTTGGTTGCTTTTAACATTCTTTTCTAAAAGCCAATTTTAGCTCTATGGCTGGAGCTTAAAGGCAGCTGCACATCTGGTGTGATCTGCCAACCTCTGCAGGTCCAGCCCATAGCACTCCTGTCCTCCGGTGCTGAAAGTAAAGCTTTGGGATGCAAAACCACAAAACACAGAGGGCTAATTAATGGGGGATCCAAGATGTTTCCCTGTGCTCTCTCAGCTTTGGTCAGACTTGGATATCGATGGTGTTGCTGCAGTCAGGTGCTGACTGTAAAACAACTCCTTCTGTTGCTGTTGCCTGGGTTGCTGGGTTATAAAAGCATTAATACTTGGCTTGTTGTCACAGTTTTTTTCAGGGCCTTTGCTACTGCTGTGAGCTTCACAAATGTGCTATACTTGGAAGAATCTATGAGCAACAGGCATTAGATGTGGTCTGGGATGCTCACAGTGGTATCTGTAGGTGCCTTTCTGCTGCCTTTGAATCCCCATCATTACCATATATGCCCTGCAAAAATTGTTTCCAGGCAGATGTTTATATTTTGCCATTGGGTTGGCTGGGGTTCTGAGAGGATCAGATATGGTCAAATTCTGCTGCTGGTACAGATAATGCAAATCCCCAAAAGATAAGTGAGGTGAACTATCTGCATAGAGTCACAGGAATTACATGCCAAGGAAGAGTTTCCCAATTAATCAGAAATCAGAGTTGTGCAGACTAAACTCCACTCTGACCTGAGCTGCTGACGTTATTGATCAGTGTTATTTCCCAGAGTATTCCAGTCCTTGCTGCCTTCCATCCACAAGTGCTTCATGCTATTGGTTTTCAGGAATGTGTTGTTTATCAGACTTGCTGCTTCCTCATACGCACTAAATTAACACAGAGCATCAGTGTCCTGCTGGCTGCAGAACACAGGTTAACTGTTCTTAGGTGGAAATCATCACATTCAAATTCCTGAAACACAGCATCCACTTCTTTCCAGCTCCTGACTTCCACAGTGTGCAGAACAATTCTGCCCATGGAGAGTCTTCTGTGCAGTGGGAATTTCACTTGAAGGTGCAGTGAGCAGGTCACAGCATCACCAGTTGCTGATCCTTCTCAGTGTATCCATACAGTGATCCAAAATTGCCACTAGCCTTTTTTGGAGATATTTTTTAAACCTCTTAATGGGGCTCTGGAGAAGTGCCCTTGCAAGTTGTTTATCCGTGTCAGTCCAGGGAAAGCAGCTGAGACTGAATTTGTGAAGCTTCACACATGCCCTGGCTTCTGAGTAACATTTCATCCAGACCTTCTCTGCCTGCCACCACCTCATTTGGTCTATATCCTTGTCTTCCCATGGATATGGGTATCCATATATATGGATATATACACATCACATGGATATATACAATGAGCACTCGATGGGCCAAGGCAGCTCTGCTGGGACACTTTGGCCTGATTTCCCCTACCTTGAAGTGCCCTTCAATCCATCCTGATAAACTTTCCTGTTAGATTCTGGGTTTTAACAGACAAATCTGTGAGCAGCAGTTATGTACAGGGAGGAAATTTATAAAATGTTAAAAACTTTACAAGGAGAGCACATCTTTAAAGAAAAAAGCCAGGAGCACAAACTGAACTGTGCCAGAATCTGTTTGCTTCATGCAAGAAACATGGTCTCTGCAGAGCTTTGTGCTGGTGAGAAAGGAAGAGCCTGGAGATGAGGATGGTGCTCATCCCCTGTACACACACTTCAGGCATCAGGACTTCCTATATTTCATATTTTAATTTAGTGTCTGTACATGGCCTGTTTAGGTGAAACAGGCTGACCCCAAAGAGGACAGTGAGATGCTGGAACAGGCAATAACTTCATTTAGAAGGCGAAAGGAAGCAGCTGAAGAAGAGGGGAGCGGATGTGTGAAACCCCGAATCCAGCAGTTGTTACCCCGGCATTCTTCAGGAATTGCTGTGGTCTCTATAATGTGGGTAGTTTGGAACAGTTATGCAGTAAATATTTTTCCCCAAGTACTTTTAATGTTTGAGTTTTAGGTTTTCAGAGGGATTTTTTTTTATTTAAAAAAAAATATAATTTTTTTTTTGAAGGAAGATCAATGACTTAATGAAAAAAGTCTGAGATGCAAGAGCGAGGCTATCGCTTCAAGAGTGCTTCCAGATTTACATAAATAACATTCCTGCTGCATAAACATCTTGGCAAAGGCAGAGCATCTAACCCCCCTCCTACTCCATTGGCCTCCACTAAATTCTGCAGAATATTAAAACCCCTTGATGGTAACGTGTTCTCGGCCAGAAACAAATCATTAGTTTGGATGAGGGCATCAAACTGCATCTGCTCTGTTCCCTGAAGTTCCAAGTGCAAGAGATTTAGGAGGGAGGGGAGAGGATTTCTTTGATAGAAGGATTTAGAAAAATGGCAATTGATAGAATTTTTAAGGAGATACAGAGATGAGGGGACGCATCTTTCCCAGAGACACATGGGAATGGTCTGGAGTAATTAAACGTGGAGATGGGCTCAAGCTGTGCAGTTTGGAGGTGGATCTGAACACTCAGGAGCTTTTGTTCTGCCCACTACACATGGCTGAGATGGTCCATTGATCAGCATTATCAAGACTCAGGAAGGGGTAAATCCAGGCTCATCTCTAAGTGTAAAGAAGGGGGGGAAAATGGAAGAGGGGAGCTGTGAAATACTGCAGGGGACTGACTCTACCTGCCTGGCAGGGGGCTGCAGGGCCATCTCATGGATGCCAAAACTCCCCAGAGAAGGCAGAGAAGAGGGATGGTACAGATGAAGCAGGTTTTTAATTCACCTTTGAGTTTTCTTACACAGAATTAATTATTTTGGCATCTGTTCTACACTTCCAAGAAAGCACCAAAGTTACCCAAAGCAGCTCCTACCCACCAGGGCTGCAAGAGATTGATTCCACCAGAGGAACTCTCTTTTACTGGCAGCATTGTTGAAAATTAGGGAGAGTTGAGGGTCCTTTTTCTCTTTTCAATACAGTCTGTCTCTCATGCTTTCTCCCTCCAGAAAGAACCAGCTTTCTGCCTCCTCAGAGGTTCTTTAAGCCCACAAGAACATCCTGTGTGGATCTGCAGGGACAAATGATTTCTTGAAATACACTGGTCTTAATCAAGCCTAATCTCTCATGACAGGGCAGAGCAGTCTGGACATCCATTAGATTTAGCACAGCTACTCCAAGCAGTGCTATTATGTCAAAATTATGCAACCTAGGCTTTGATAGGCTTTGGGGATTTTCTCAATGGTTCCTTATGAGCCTGTTGGTGCCCCTCACATTTCAATGACCACAATATGAACATTAAATGTATTTCCTTTCCCACAGCTGGATACTGTCCCATCTGTTCTGAGACAGCCAAAGTGTCAAGTAAGCCAGGCAAGGCAGACAATTTTTCATGCAAATCTGTTGACTTTAGGATTTTTAAATATATGTCTTTTTAATAACCCACAGATTATCTCACCAAAAAAAATGGGTCACTTGCAAGAGTTCCTCCAGCAGTCCTAGGCATTGTTAGCCAACACTGCAATGCACATATATTATTCTCAGAAGAAAACCTGGCAAAAGGACAGAGAGAAATGCCATGTACAGTCACTCTAATGGCTTAGCCTGGGATGTTGTATCTGACAGTGCTCAGCCTGGATGCTCCAGAGGGATGCACAGAACCCCCTAAACAACAGCACCCTCCAACCACTCTCCAGCTGTGCAGCACAGGTGGAAGGGAGAAAAAACAGATTTAATGTATTGCACCAGCCCCAGGCAGGGGGATTAGGATTTGTCACAGACTTGGCCTCCTTCCCTGGCACCTTCAGCGTCCCTGTGCCCCCTGGACAAACCAGGGCAAACCCAGACACCTCCTCCAACAGCCCTGCATGGCTGGGAAGCAGCAGCAGCACCCACAGTCAGGTCTCAAAAAGATTTGCACAAGGCCAAGGAAATAACCTGACAAATCAACCCATGTCAGAGGTGACCAGCTCAGTATAAGCACAGAGCTCACAAATGATTTAATTCCAAAATTAGCCAATGTCTCAACACAGGAACATCCTCTGCTCAGAACACACTGACTCACGTGTTCATCCCAGCTCTTGGAGCAAGGCAGGGATGTGAACAAATGAAGTGATTTGTGCCCATGAAACACCAGACCAGTGACACAGGACAACCTTTCTCACCTCTGCCTTTCAAACCACCTTTTAAATCCCCTTTGCTTTTTAATGAGATGCTTCACAATAAAACAGACTGGAGGAAGCAGCTGGGAAATCATCCTGTGATGAAAGCCAAGAATGTAAATTGCCTTCTTGACTTACTTCAAATGACAAATTTGCCACAGACCCCCACCTGGCAGAAGATACCTAGAGGAATAGAACTCAGCTTCTGGATTTCATGCCCTTTTCCAAGAAAAACCTGCTCTGGTGGTCACCCAGAGCACACCTGGTCTTACCTGGAGTCTGGGGAAGGACCAAACTGGGAAGCAACAGGAGAAACCCAACCTATTCCAAAGCTACACATCCCTCTGATTCTTTTAAAACATAGGTGGATATTTGACTTACCCAGGTGCAGGTAATTTCTCCATATTTAAGGTCTGATTTATCGGGGTCCAGAATAACTCTGGGAACCTCACAAAGCCAGGACAGCAGGACACCACTGGAGCAACAGGAGGAAAAGGGAATTTGCTGAATTGAAGACCTCTAACTCTTCTAGAAGCTTCTGCTGGGGCAGCTCTGCAATCACAGAGAAGGTGTTTGTCAATTTAGCAGCAAATTTGACATGGAAGAGGCAGTCATGGGCTCTGTGTGGAGCCACAAAGCATCATGCAGACCCAAGGCTCTGTCTTAAAAGGCAGGCCATTGCCCTTTCCCTAACACACATTTTACCTGGGCATGGAGAAACCACAGGTCTCTGGATAACTTGGGAGCTTTGCCACCTCCTCCAATTCCCTCCTTAAAAAAAAAAAATATAAAAAATTAAAAAATTTTAAAAATCCAGCTTGTTTTCTGAAACTTTGCTTTAAAGAGCTGAGTTCCTAAACCAGAGTGCGTGATGCAGAACAGCTGACTTTGTGTAAGGCTGTTATTAGAAACAGCCCATTGCTGAGCTGGGATTTCATGGGATGCACCTCGTTCAGAGCCCGGGCAGACACACCACGAGCGTGGGTCCATCCACACAGCCTGGCTAAGAGTGAGGAGTTTGCTGCCTTTCAGTGCCTGGGGCAGGTCCTGACTCAGAGATTCCTCCACGTTATTTTCCATGGGAGGAAGCAGGAGTTATTTTGCAGAGGGTCTGAACAGACAAGATGCCAGTTTCTTGCTGGTAAATACCACTTCCAACCTCACTCGCAGGCTCCAACAGATGTTTCTGCTTTTCAGAGTAATGGAAATTTTATGGACCATTTTCTCCTCCTTCTCCTGTTCCCTGGGATGGAGCAGCAGATCCAAAATGCCCTGGGAAACACAGTGGTCTCCTCCTGAGACTCACTTCAGAGCAGTGTCTCCAGCAGATCAGGGAGAGTCAAACCACTCAGTTGTGGGTTGGGTTCCTCTGGAGAACCAGACAGCATCTGCCACCAGGCAGCTGCACAAAGGCTCCACTGTCCAACAGCTTTCACTGGAGAAGCTCAAAATCCTCCTGGAGGATGAGCTGCTGGCTCCCAGGCTGGGTAGAGAGCCATGGGGTATGCAGAAAAGAGGATTAAAATGATTTGGGAACTGTGGTGTTATTTATATGCCCTTGTGTTGGTTGTCATTTGTTACAGCCAGAGAAACTGAGGCATGTGAAGTCATTGACTAAGCAGAGCTGGGACTGATTCCACATGTACAAGGTACCAGTGTGCTCATCACAAGGCAGTTCCAAAAGCACAGACTGATGGGACAGAGAGAGGGAAAAGCTTTGCCAATGCAGACAAAGTGTGGGATAAAATGGTCTGATGTGCATCCTGAGAATTCACATTTTCCCTTGCCTCCCTCTCATGTCCCTGGGCTCACTGTGTGAGAACCCCATCATCCCCCCAGATTGCTCAAATAAACCCTGTGTTGCAATGCTCCTTAAGCAAAAACCAAAAAAGAAACTTGGGGAATCCCATTGACTCAAAGCTGCATTAATTATTATTTTTTGTAAGGGCCCAGGACTTAGTGAATGAGAATATTATCCCATGGGGATTGAGAACACAATGGAAACAGGAAACTTTTAAAAAGCATTTCTGTGGAGATATTATCTCAGTGCTGTAGGACACAGGATTTACTTAATTGCAGCCAAGGAAGTTTTAGATTACGCTCTGCAATGTCTGCACGAACGTCTCAGCTATCACAGGGAAGGCTCCTTGCATGGCTATTTCCTTTAAGATATGTGCCTTACCCTGAACACGTTCACTGGAGGGGATTTGGTGATAATGCAAGAGGGTTCGGAGAACTTCAAAGCCTTAAATGAGATTCAGGGCATCACAGCCCATGATAAAGAATATGAAATTGCTTTTCTAGCAGATGACATCCTGCTTTCTCTCAGTGAAACACAAGCCTCTATTCAATGCCTTGGAGAAGTCTGAGAGGTTAACAATCCTGTTTTGGGTTCTTTTTGTGTGCATAAATATGACCAAGACAGAGGTAATGCCTCCAGGCACCTCCCCAGCAAAATCCCTCTTAATTTTCCATGCCAATAGTCCCTAGAAGGATTCAAATCCATAAGAAGCCAAATCTCTCTTCACTTAAATAAACTTATAACAGTGAGTCTCCCCTTTTATGTGACACACATCATGATTTTTAGAGATGGACTAACTCCCCATTATCTATGCTTGATTAGGTCCACTTAATGAAAATGGCCATCCTCTTGAGCACTTCATTTTCTGCAGAGGCCCTCAGTACTTGAGCCTTTAACAACACTTGAACCTAATCCCACACCCCATTCCTCAAACAAGAAAACCACCCACAAAAAAACCAAAAAGCCAAACCAAAAAAGAGGAGAAAAGTAAGTAGAATACTCAGCAGTTTTATACAGCCTCAGGTGGGATGAATTTCACCCTAAGCAGCACCTAAGAATCCAAGTTGCTCGTACTGCAGGGATGATGGAAACTGCTTCACTGCGAGTTTGTGTCCTGTGTCCCCAGTTTTTATTCCTTACACTTCATATTCCTGCTCCTGGTGCCCTGGAGCTCTCAGACCTCATGGCTGGGTCACTGCAGTTTCAGGAGAGCTGTGTGTGAAGCATCCTCAGCATTCCCAAGCTGATGGGCATGTGAAGGTCCAGGCACAAATCTGGGATAACTCAAGCTCCTCCAACCTCGTCTGTGATGTCAACACCACATTTGGGTCCCCTTTTTTCACCCACTCATCAATTCTACTGAAATCTGCTGAGTATCCAGATTGGAACCTAACCCTTCTCACATTGTTGAACTTGGTTTGGTGGATCCAAATATCTTGAGAGAATGGATGGATAGAAGCAAACCCACTCAACATTTGGTTTATCTTCACATTGTTGAACTTGATTTGGAGGGTCCAAATAGCTTGGGAGAACATATAGATATAGAAGTATATATATAGATGGAAATATATGCCAGGTAATCCAAACAGTAACGAGCTGATGGGTTCAATAGCCCAAACTCTGCACACAGAGGGGTGTACATTCCAAATACATTGGGAATAAGCTCCCAAAATCTCCAAGCAAATTATTCCACACCTCTAGACAGAACAGTTTAGAATTCAACTAAAAACCACAAAACTTTAGTAGTACAAGAGAAAATGAAGAGATGCTTTATGTTTGCTTTGCTCTGTAGCAGAAAGCAGAGCACTTGTATGCAGTGAGTACTCCTGGATCCATTATTACATCTGTTCCACCAGATTTCCCTGAAACTGTTCCTCTTCTTTCCCAGGAACAATAAAACCCATGAGCTGCAGGCCAAGTGGCGAGTGTCCCACGACCTGCTCCAGCTACTGAGTTTGAAGCTACTGAGAGGTTTTGACAGCTACTATGAAATGATGCAACCCAGTTAATTCCATGTGCTGACTTTCAAGGTATCAAAAGAAGAATGGTCTTTCAAGAAGAGTAAAATAATTATTAATCTTAATTAAATCTTTCTTGATGCTAGAACAGCAAGATGAGGTGTTTGTACAGCTTCTTCTGTGCCTTTGAATGTGCCCTTACACCACAGTGAGGCTTTGATTGTCCCACTGAGACCTTAAAGTCTGGCCAGGGTTATCTACCGATAGTTGTCCGAAAAGATCTTTTCAAGGAACTGGATCTCTGAGCTTCCTTTCAAAATGTGTCACCTCCAGACCCTAGCACTGGTGGTTCTTCTACTGAACAACCATTTAAATATATCAGAACAGCCAGAAAAGAGTGCTTTTCTATGACACAGCCCAGAGGTTGTCTGGTGCTGAAGGTCACTTCCATCAGCATTACAGCTGGAGGAGCCCCTTGCTTATTTTAAGCTTGTCCAAATGCTGCCTCCTGTCACCTCCTGGCCTCACATCCTCCCTCCCTCCAGCCAGCACCAGCCCTGGCACAGTCAGCCCCAGAAAACCAAGCCTAGCACCAGCCCTCCAATGACTTCAGAGATTTTGGTGCTGTCTTGAGAGCTCGAGTGGCAACCCACAACTGGGAGGAAGAGGGGATGTGAAACCTTTCTTTTGGCAGCATCTCCATTGCGTCAGCTTGGACTGCTCACAAAACACCACCTGAGGGACTGAAGTCAGCATCTGTTTTTTGTGAACTCAACCTTCTGCAAAGTTATGCAAACAAGAAAAGACTTTGAGTGGCGATGTAACAAACAAGTTCATTTTTCCAAGCCTCAAAATAAACAAAAATTTGCTTCTTTTTCTTCATGTTCCAAACCAAGATTCAAAGAGATCCTCTTTCATCCATCATCCAGTTAATCCATCCTTGTTGCTAATGTGAGGAGATACGTCCTATGGGAAAGCACATGCAGCTTTTTAAAAACATTGTGCTTTTTAAAATTTACTTTTGAACTAAATCAGAGATTCCTGAGCATTTCTATGGTGACCTGGGCAGCTTTGCTGCCCTGGCTCATGGCTGCATGGCTTCCATCAATGTTCCCAGCAGCTTTAGACTGGAAAGAAGACACAAAGCTATTCCCTTTCTGCACTGAACATTGCCTAAAAGGTACCTGCTTAGTTAAACCAATTCTGACAATTCCAGTGGATAAAAATCCTTTTCAGTTTCTGCACCAACCAATAAGTTTGTTAAAGTTTGTCTTAAAACCAAAAGACTTTGTAGAAAACCAATCACAGAAATATCTCAACACTTGAGCCCACGACTCCACATCTATTATTAATATAACCATCATTTAGAGCTACAATCAGACATGGTAACAAAAATGTATCACAGTAGTTGTTCATCTGCAAATCATATGTATTCCTCCAAAATAAACGAAGCGTACTCTTCTCTCTCTCCTTTCCAGCCCCCTATCACAACCCCCACAACCAACCTCAAGCAGAACAAGCCATAATGCAGAACAAAAACAAAATAAAATTGAAACCTGGTAAGGCCACATTCTTGGGGAGAAGCCATGTGTGAGATATTTTTGCTTAATTATTTCAAGCAATGTATGGCCCCTTGGCTGTCACCAAGGTTGGCCTGTCAGGGTAATGTCATGAGGAACTATTGTGCAGAGAATCACTAGATACTTCAAGTCTTTGAGACCCTGCTAATCAGCTCACGTTTCATATTCTTTTACCAACTTTTACACTGAAACAGAGCCCTTACTGGTTTGTATCAAGCCCTTTTTCTCCTCTTGTAGGTGTTACAGAGAAGGTTGGGAGCAGAGATGTGACCCTTTGCCAGTTTGCATGTACAGGCATCGCTGCTGCCACTGATTCAAAAGCAGGCTTTCAGTCTCACCAGACCCACAGAAAATGCAGTGTAAAGTCAGATTGCAGATAAACAGTGACTGCTGATTATGGCTAAAGAAATAACTCAGCAGGAGGGAATTCCAGTGCCTGGGCTCCAGCCCGTCACGCCTCAGTGCCTCGTGGATCTGGCTGGGAAGACAGGTGCTTTCAGCCCTAAATTATACAGGATATTGAAAAAGCACCCACTGATGATACTAGAAAGGGAGCTGTTTGCTTTCCAAATAGTTCCCCTTTGAGCTGAGCTGGGGTTTATTATCTGGAGGGAATAATGACACGATTTTTCCTCCGTTACACAGTGGAGTACATAATACACATTGTGTAAGGAACCTGCTGGATGATGTAACTCTGCTTCCATGAGAGCTCCAGCACTGGAGAAGGCAAAGGAAAGTCTAACTCAAACATACCAGAACACCTTACTGGCTAGGAAGTTTCCAAATAACTTTATAAGTGCATTAGCAAGAACAAAAAAAATCCTAACCCCAAGGCAGAGCTCATTAATGAGGTTTAATATTTCTAAATGAAAGAAATGAGAAAGGTAAGGATAGGGCTGGTGTCCTGAGTGCTGCAATACAAGGACAAACCACTTTATAGAACATAAACAGAAGCTGCAGAGGGTCACAGAAACCCCACAAGTGAGAACTGAAGAACTTCAGGCGAGCACAGAAATCTGGCAGTTCTTTAAGATGGAGAAACAGAACAGCAGAATGGAGCTTCAGATGGCACAAAGACCCATCCTAAGGAAAGAGAAAAGAAACCCAGAGCAACCCTCGCTGCAAGGGCTGATTTCAGACAGTCCATTCTGGGGAGGAAAGTGCTGGCAAAGGGAAGCAGGGAATCTACAGTGTTTACAAACACCATGTGAAGAGGTAGAGCATGTAATAGGAGCAGAACAGAACATCCCCTGTGGAAAGGGAGGGGGTGGGAAATGAAGAAATTTGGTAACTTCCTGGAATAAAGCTTTTTAAATATCTTAACAAGGCATAGATCATGACTTGTAAAATGTGGAAATAATGCCTCTGAGAGTAAAGGGAATATGAGCATCAGTCTCATTCCTCCTGTGAAGTGCTATGGCAGCGATGCAGCAGCTGCCCGGGGAGCTGCACGCACTTGAAAACAAAGTCAAACACAGCTGCCCTGGGTAAAAATTGCATCCTGTGTTGTATTTTCAAACCAAACATTTAAAGAGGTTGCTGCCTTTGGAAGTATTTCATTTCCTTTGCAACACGGTAGCAGCACCAGCATTCCCAATTGATACAAACAAGAAATCTTGATCACAGAATGGTTGGTAAAAAAACCATCTCATTCCACCCCCTGCCATGGGCAGGGACACTTTCCACTATCCCAGGCTGATCCAAGCCCTGTTTTATCTGGCCTTGGACACTTCCAGAGGTGGGGCAGCCACCAGCTTCTCTGAGCAGCCTCAAATTAAAACTAATAAATGGATCTTGTAGTTAACCAAAGAACAGAAGCGTGTCTCAGGTAGCAAGTCTAAAGCTTAGCAGCAAGGGTAACCAAATCCAAGCCTCAGCAGCTGCTTCAGCTCTGCCTGTGTCCAGTGTCCCTCCGGCAGGCACAGGCAAGACCCCACAAGCTCATGTGCAAAGGGAATATCCCTCATTAATTTCCAGCTACTGAAAAATTCAAGATGTGCAATACCCAGTCCGTTTCCTTTCCAGTATAAAGTCTAAAATTCTTCTGTGTTGAAGCATCCAGCTACTGGTCTTACTCTTACTACTAGGAGTTGGAATAGGGGTATGATGATTACGTTTTTTTTTGAGACTTCTTCATCCCTCAAGTTGTGACTTTCGAACCACTTAAATCCCACAAATATTCCCATTAAAATGTTTATCCAAGACAAAGATTAATCAGTTGTTTCTTCACTTTGTTTTTAGGGATCCTCTTGCATAGATTCTTGTCTACCACTCTTCTATCAGCTCAAGTGGTCATCCAGAGGGGACTGGACATCCAGGCACTTAAATTCCAAGCTTCACTCCTCATTCCATGTACATGTCCTTTCCTTGTTTATATCTCAAAAGATGGATTTCTACCCCAATGTACATTTAGTTTGTTTATGGGAAGTTGCTTCTGTCTGCATGAATTTCCTAGTAGAAGTTTAGAAGAGTCCTGCTGTAACTGCTGAACTGTGAGGGGTTTGAGATGAAATGACCAAACCCATTAAACTTTAATTGACTGAAACCAAAACACCCCACTGGAACAGCAGCAACAGTGCTTGAAGGAGCAGACAGAGCCCCTGGAGTAAGAAAATATCTCAACCTTGTGACTCCAGTGGCTGACTGCATCTGACGGAGTGAGAAACTAAAAGAAGACAGTCAGGTACATTTGTCACCAAATAATCTTGTTTCTGCCCCTTTCCCCAAGAACTGAGCCACTCATTTCTGGCTGAAAACAACTCCTTCATCCCCGATTCCCTCCTACAACTGCTTGTTCATAGGCTGAAGTCTCTTCTCCACTCTGATTGCTCTTAATTTGTCAGCCCATTCCTTCAGTTCTTACCAAGTTGTGAGAAGAGCTCAAGACTTGGCATTCCCCATCCTCAGACACTGTGGATGGTCCATATTCATAACTGGCTCATAAAAATGAATACAAAAGGAATTCTTTTACCAACAGTGCAAAATCCTTCAGGGCATTCAAAACTGGAACTGTGGAGTGTTGCAAGAACAGGCTGCCAGGGCAGTGGTGGAGTCCCCATCCCTGGAGGGTTTTAAAAGCTGTGTGGATGTGGCACTTGGGGACATGGGTTAGTGGTGGCCTTGGCAGTGGTGGGTCAATGGGTGAACTTGATGACCTCAAAGGTTTTTTCCAACCTAAATCGTTGTGTGATTCTGTGAAAATGACACTGTGAATTTCATTGGTCTTTGAACCATGGTGGTAACATGAGGTAACTCACACAAAATTCACAGCTCATCCATGCTCTGAGCATGGCATCCAGCTCTGGAATTGCCCTTCCCTACATCTCAAGAGTTTGTAATAAAACCAGAAGAGTGATAAAAATAGCTTGTATGCATAGAAAAGTGCACATGAATGACAACTGGAGGGTAAAGCATGAAGACTAATTGAATGGAAAAGCTGAAGAGTCAATCCACTCCTTTCTCATTACATAAACAAATCAGGGTAAAACTATTGAAATAATCAGTCAGAGAAGGAAAGTGTGTTTCCTGCACAGGAGTAATTTCATTGTGAAATTCATTGTCTGGGATGTTCCAGATCCCAGATTATGAGGGATTTGCAAAGAGTAGGAGAAGCAATGGCAGATGCTGCAGTCAGGGCTGTGGGATGGAGCTACAACAAACCAGCAGCAGCCAGCAGGAGGGATCAGATATCCTGATGCTTGCCCTCGTCTTAAACTCCTCTAAGCAGCTACTTGGAGTAGCTGCAAAGTGAGATGCCTATTATGATTGAAAAGTATATGCTAAGGGAGAGAACAGGATGTCCATGTTCCCTGTGCTTGATCCCAACCCATGGTAGATGGTGCTTGGGACTCCCACAGCCACCCCCTTCCTTCCTTCCAATGGGAAAACACACAAACTACTGTCATTTTTCCAGGTTCTGGGGAGGTTTAGTCTCTGTGTTGTCCTGCTCAGCACAAAAGGCTTTGCAGACCTGCTTTTGTTTATTAACCAACTTAAAAGATCAAGGAGCACCTGCATGACAGGATTTTTTCACCAGTATTTTGCTACTTGCATGCATTTGCACTGTCTGAAATCTACAGACTAACCCACTCAACAAATCTTGTTTCTTTTCAATAATTTGTAAGACTTCAAAACAACTCTATTATAAAAACTATTAGCCCCATAATCAGGTGGTCTTGTTCTTGGCTTGCTATTTAGTATATTTCAGAAAACAACAGGCATTTCCAAAGGTGTTCTCATGGAATTTAAGTGCCATGTACAGAACTCCACGTATTTATGTGTTCAGTGTATGATTTCAGGTCTTGTTTCCTACCTGCTACTTTTTATAGGGCAATAGAAACATTATTTACCTTGAGTTTCTTCAAGGCTTTGGCCACAGCTCCTTACTCCTCCTCAGAGTGCTGCTCTGCTCCACCTCCATTCCTGCCTCCACCTTGTTTAACAAGAACATCATGTCATTTAATATTTCTGGATTCAAGGAAAAGAAAAGCACATTTCCCAAGATCCCACATGACAACACAGCTAATTTAGTGATAATGAAGATGACGCACGATGAAGGAGGTTGGAGGGGGCCAGGAGGTTCCATCTGCCAGGCAACTGCTCAGACTGACAAAGAGCTGCTGGTTTGAAATGAAGTGTTGAACCCTTTTTAGAAGGATCCACTTTATTCACACCTGCTGAACCCAGAAAATTCCATAAAAAACCAGAAGCAGAGCGTGTTGCACATAGCAGCCATCCCCAGCCAAGCTGGGATCTCATTACCAAAAACTCCACTGGGATTCTCCTGTGGGCAGCTCTCCATCCTTTAGGACTGATTTCCTTTGACATTTAGAAGTCACTCAATATGGATCACAGGGCTCCACTTTCACAAAGGTATTAATTTCCCAAAAACCAGAATATGGATTTTACTCAGTCCCAGCCATCTCTCTGCCCTCCCTGACCCCCATCCACCCACACTCCATGTCTCCTCCTAGGAGACAGCCTGTAAACACCAAGTCGAAACAGTCAATAAATATCAAGATAATTAGATACTCAGGATAGAGATAATTAGACACTGTTGACCAACTGATCTTACAAGAATGAGAAAGGACAAGCTCACATTTGCCAGATATGCTGAGCAGAGACTGCTGTGAGTGTGACACACATCACAGGGTGGGTGGGAGCATTTTTGTCTTTTAAAGAGCCTCCCAAGCACAATTACCTGTGAGCAGCCCAGACAGGCAGGTCCTGTCCAAACATACCAGCACCTGGATTTCAGCAGTTGGATGAGGCATGTAGAGCTCTTGCTTACATTTATGGTTCTGAAAATTTTGATTGGAAAGTTGTTGGGTGTGCTAAAAAGGTTTATTTATGTTGATATTGTATGTCCTTTTTGTCTCTATAATTAACTCTTAAGGTTTTCTTGGTTTCTTTAGAGGAACTCAAAACAGATTGCCCTTCTGGGAGGACCTGCTTCAACAAGAGTGATCCAGGTGTGTCTGCTCATGAGCATCCTCATCTCAGTGCTGGAGCAGCACCTCCATCCTCCCACCCCAAGGTACCAAACCCTGTGTTGCATCTTCCTTATATTAATCACCAAGGAAATACATATACAAATTCCTTGTCCAGTATTTGCTTCATTTTAAATTTGGAATCAAACAACTGGCAAGTAAACCCCTCTTGGTCTTGAGCTGTCTGCAATATCCAGTGAGTCTCTTTCCATCTTCTGGCATTGAGGCTGAGCCTCTCTTTAAGGTTTCTACCCTTGTGTTACAACTGGACATAAACATCAAATCCACAGAAGGTAACTTCTGTATTACAATTAGTAACCAGAAATCATCTTCCCCACTGTGCAAAATGCAAGAATTGCCTTTTCCAAAATCTCAGCAATGCTGTCTTCTTCCAAACTATGGAAGCTCTCTGCTGTTCCCTAACCTTCACCTCCCTGATGGAATTTTTGGGTGTTCTGGGTGTTTCAGTATTTCCAATTAATGAGTTTTCCTATAGAGTGGGAAAAAAAGTCTTATACAGAACTCTCTACTCTCAATTGAAAAGGGTTAAATGACCTAAATTTTTCTCACATCTTGGCCATCTCTCTCAACCTCCCTCTGTCTCCTTGCATGTGATTCTCACTGGCCTACAGAAGAGTTACCAGAAATCCTCATCTTGACTCATATCTCGCTGTTACTCATCCTTAATCACATTACACCTAGACTACTGATATATCTGCTTAAAATATTCCAGGAACTCACCAGCTCACTTAAGCACTAGGGGTCTGGAATAATTTGGCCAGAAATGTCTCATTTTCCAGGAAATGGATGATGTCATCCCATTATCTGTCAGCTGCACTGCACTGCCCATCATCCTGGCCTTCACAGCTCTCTGCTGATTTACTCTCCTCATCCACCCACTTCAGTCCAGCAGACACAAGAAGTTACAACAGTTTGGATAAAATTTTACCATTTTCAAGTATTTTGCTGAAGCCATCAAAATGTACCCCTGTAGATTATCTTTGTTTTCCCTGGAGTGGAGGAAGAGTCAGAACTGACCTCCTTTGGGACTCTGGAAAGGTTGTGGCCCTCCCAATCTCTTTGATTGATCGATGCATCCAAGAAGTTTGTGCCAAGAAGAGCTTTGCTAAGGCACAACTCGCTTCTGAAAATCCAATTGTGAGAAAGGCAAGGACATGGGAACAGATCAGCAACAGCAGGAAGAGGGGTCCTAACTCCTTATCTCACAAGGTTCTGGTTTTTTGGGAATAAGTAACTAACTAGAGTTTACTCACTGAATTCAGGACAACTAAACCACAGTATTACTCACAAGGAAGCCAGATGTTCTGGGCTTTCCTTACCTAGTAATAGCAGCAACATCTGGATTCTTGCAAATACACAAAATGACAGGGAATAGTGGGGAAGCCTGGATGATTTTTTTAAAAATTTGTAGGGTTTTTTCTCTACAGTAGTGTGTGTGTACGGAGAGAAATAGATACCCTTTGATTAGGACAAGAAAGCATGAGATGCTCAGGCAACAGAAGAGATCCTGAACTGTGGTTTTAGCAGAGATTAAATTAAAATATAGCAAAATATCACCAGAGAAGAACAAAAGGAAGCATCACTAGGCAACCACCCTGGGTCAGTGGGGCTGCTGCACCAACCCTACTGCTGTCCTTGCAGAGAGCCTACACAGAACAGAAGGAAAATCCTGGGAAAGCCCTGGGGAAGGGCCAGAATGGAATAATTCATTAAAAAAACATACACTGCAAGCACACAATGATCAAGTGTAGTGAGTTCCATCGGTCATTGCTGCAGTCCCTGACAGCCAAGCTCGGAGGGAACCAGCTCCAACACACGTGGCAATGGGATTACCAGTGTTTCCCTAAAAATCCTGTTAAAGACAACTGCACAACAACTATCAACAAACACAGCATCACCATATTTCTGACTACACCTAAGGCTTGCATTAGGACAAGCTACCCAGCAGCTGTGCTTCAGGACAGCGTGCCTAAATAATTATTTCTGGGTGTATTGCAGACCTCAGTTTTTTTGTTTCACCCTTTTGGACCAAATTCCTTATTTATCCTCCTACTGTCCACAGCTTCTCTGGAAAGCTCCCCTGCCACTTGAAGCCAGCTGGTGTGACTGTGAGCAAAACACAATGACTCCTATTCTGGATCAGCTTTTACAGTCCCGCCCTGGAGGTCTTTCTCCTTTATCTCCAACTCTTCCTTACTTCTTTTCAACATCTGGGTAGCTCTCCTGAGGCTCCAGAAATAAGCACACACTATACATCCTGTTCCTCCACCCCCCAAGACATATTGTAATGAATACAGAAAACACATGCTCCAGGATAATTTGTTATCTCATGCAGAGCCATTAGCATCAGCTTCCTTCCCTGGATGGAGTCAAGTCAAGCTCAGAGACAAGTTTTCCAGGTTGCACACGCCACATGTCTCCTTGTTCCTTCCTTCCCTCTCCTCCCAGCAGGGACTATCCTTCCTGATTATCAAGCCCATGGAAAAAAAGCCAGACTTAGGAGGTCTCCTGAGATACTGCCTGTCCTATAATGCAAAGCAGCTTATTGGAGTCATTGGAACAACTCAAAAGCCGTATAAAACCAACACAGATTTCACTCATTCCCAGCAGCACAACAGCACCTTGCAATTCCTGGTAATAAAAAGGTAACAGCACTGGTGGGACAGAGTTTGGAAGAGCTCCAGCTTGTCTCAGCTGAGGAACAGAGGGATTTCTCAGGGCTCTTACAGCTTACACCAGACACTGCAGGCACGAGGGATAGGGGAGAAGGATGGAAATCACCTACTCTGAAAACCTCAGGGATAACTTTACAGTGAACCCAACAGACTGATAGGCTGTACACATGAAACTGAGGTCTGACTGGTCAACAGGCTTCCTGTCCTCTTTTTTTTGGCCAGAAGCTACAAAAAACACTGATCTCTCCCAGTTCCAGCTTGAGGAGCTGCTGTCTGTCTTGTGCAGGCACAACAGGCTCAATGCTTTCAGCTCTTGAGGTCACCAGATCAAGCCAGTGGCCAATACAGGTGACAACAAAAATTTCCAAAAGCTGGACAATTCTTCTTGTGAGTTTTATTGCAAGCACAGGGAAATCTTTCCTAATACAGGGAAGCTCCTGGCAAAATCAGAGTGCCTGGTAACAATTTGCTTCTTTCCTTTCTCAGACCCAAGTCCAAAGCCCACCAGTGGTGGTGGGAAGCCCCACTGACTTCACCAGGCTTTGGCACGAAGCCTCAGCACAAAGAGCTGATGGGGATGAAGTTCTGGACACGTGGAGGTGGCTAACAGATCCCAGAACATGACAAAGCACTTGGAGCATTTGCATACAAATGCTCTTTGCTTGTTTATTGCTTCATCTGCTCCTTGTAAGTCTTTTTAACACACCCTCTAATTCTGTTATTACAAAAAAGAGTGCATGCAAATAACTGCCTGAAGTGAACTCAAGCAGAGAACAATCCATTAACCACTGTGCTTATATTCAAAAAAGTGTTAGAAACCATCCATAAGGCATGGTGGTTTGAGGGGAAAACCCTCGGTATTCAGGCAACTGCTGCAAACACACAGCCTTGAGTTACACGAGCTGGAAGGCAGAATTCAAAATGCAAATGTTCATATTAAAACAAACTGCTAATTAAGAGCAGGCTTCATTATAGAGATTATGCATCTTTAAAGGCTCTACCAGACACGCATATTTCCAGCAAAAACCAGGAGGATACACAGAAATACTCCCAGGCTGAGCCCGTTTGCTTCTTGTCCTTCCTGACCCTAAAACGGCCATTCCACATCTCAAATGTTTAGTCTGGAAAATTCAGGGTCAGCTTTTGTGGGGAGCCATGAGAAAGGAGCAGCCGTGGCAGGGCCAAGTGACACCGTGCCCTGTCCCCTGCCTGGGCGAGGACCACGGGAGCGGCTGCCAGCAGCGATC